GAGCTATGAGTGGCTGAGGATAGAAGATAATCAATGGTGCTAACACCTGTAGGAGAAAAACACGTGTTGGAAAGGGAGTTGGGAAGGAGAGAGATACCGTTGAGAACTTTCAAATTACATGTGGCTCCAAAGGTTAGAAAGTGTTTGGTCAAAGGATTTGTACAAATATCAGAAGAGTTTCTACACCACATACTATCTTCAAGTTCTTCAAAGGAGGGAGAACTCAAGAGATCACCAACTTGGATAAATTGTGCACAACCTATTCGCGCATTGAAATCTCCAACTAGAAAAACTTCATCTTTTCTCTGATAATTGAGAACATCTCCTATAAGTCGATGGAATGATTGACTCCGATTGCAAGTGCGTGTAGAGTAGATCGGCATGGACAATGGTGCAAAGTAACAAACTGCCAAATAACTATAACATACTCCAGCCAATCCAAGACGAAGCCAATGATATTGACCCCCTATATCTTGACCTTCTAGGTGTATAAGAGGTAGAAATTCAGATCTGATGAGAGTAGCAATACCGCCATAGCCTCTTCCTCCTCGTTGACTTCTATGATTTCAAGTGGATCCCACCAAAGTAAACCCTGGTATCTCTCCAATAGTGTTGCTCTCATGTTTCCACATCTCCACAATGTTGATGATGTCAGCCATCTTCCAAATCAAATCAAACTCACACACTTTGTTAAAGAAAGACCTCTAATATTCCACATTAACATCCTCAAGCTCTTGGATTGCTAGGTTGATGATTGTCTCCTACTCTAAGTGATAACAGCTTGACTATCACGTAGAAAAGCTACAAAACCTGCATCTTGAGCTTCTTTGACTTTTGAAAGCTCTTTTCTCCTTGCCTCTACTTGTAGAGGTGTGAGATCGGGATCTAACCAAGTCCTTTGTCCCTTGAGAACAACTTTATTAGCTAAAGCCGTATCACGTTGAGTTTGGTCATTGAACTTAACTATGATAGCTCGAGGTTGGGTTCCTATTGTTCCAATGCAAAAAGCTTGAGCCACATCCGGATTAGCAACATGAAGTGTTCCAGCCAAAAACTTGGTAACAACACTTTTCACCTCTTCCTTCTCAGATTCAAGTTGACCAGAAATCCTCACATTCTTTCTACGAGCAAATTGATTAGACTTTTCAATCTCTTGCTCTTGACAGAAAGAGATATGAGCAAACTCGGTGGCTTCCGCATAAAACTTCATTTTCACCTCTAGACTTTCAACCACTTCATGGAAAGCAGGTGTAGTAACAATAGAAGCTTGGGAACCAACCTTCTCTTGGATGTCTTCAACTGATCCAGAGATTTCTAGCATGATCTTTTCAAAACTTTTGTGGGAAATTTTCAACTCTTGGATTTCATTCTTTGCAGCAATCAAAGCAACATTTTGTACCTTGAATTCTTGACGGAGCAATACGATGATTCTTCACATGTTTCATCTGATTTGATGTACTTGACCTTGTCTTCTTGAAGACGTTCTCGGAATAACACCATGTTTTTGTTCAGTATTTACAATACAACAATTCTTTTTCTTCTTCATCTACATGATTAATGTGCTCATAGATCTCACCTTTTGGTTTAATTACAGATTTTTTCCCAGTTGATCAAAAAATTTCCTCGTCTATCGCTTTAAAATGTGCTATGTCATCATTGCTAGGATAGATCTCTGCCTCCTTTTCAACATACGTATCTTCAATTTGACTGACAAGCGCAAGATTCTCTGAGTCATGTGTTAAAATTCGTTTTACTCTTTACTAGGATTGTATCTGAGAAGAACCAGAGAACATACGCTTTGCAGTAGTTTTCATGTTTTGAAAAGAAACAAATGAAAGGTTTCAGATCAATTCACTCAGAGCTCGCAGTATTAAACCTTTTCATGCGGATGTTGCAAGTTCAAATCTCAGATCTTACACCTCATGTAGGGCTCACAAGTTTTTTTGGCTCTCATCAAATCATTCAACGCTCGCAGGTCGAGGCTTGCAAATCACGTGAGCCTATCGTAGATCTTCCCGGTTTGCAGGTCGAGACTCGCACAGGTCAGGACTCAAAAATCACGCGAGGTAGCTTCGCAAGTCGGAGGTCGCAAATCGCAAATCACGCGGTTTAGGTTCGAATCACGCGGATTAGTCTCGCAGGCTAATCACAAAGGTCTGCAAGATAGGGCTCGCAAGTAAAGTCAGACTTCCGCAGGTCTCACAGTCTCGCAAGTAAGATCGAGCTACGGCAAATCTCGCAATCTCGCAAGTAAGATCGGGCTCGCAAGTAAGATTGACCTCCCGCAGACTCGCAAGAAAGATCGGGCTTCTCAAGGTCGGGTTTCAAATTAGGCTTGCAAGTAAGACTTCAAATAAGTTTCTCGCGGGGTAGGGCTCGCAGGTTCTTGTCACTCGGAAATGCTCTCGAATAAATCACTTGCGGGGTAGGGCTCGCAGGTTTTGTTGTCACTCAAGTTCGCTGGTGTCACTCGAGGGTGCTCTCGAATACGTCAATTCGTGGGGTAGGGCTCGCAAGTTTCATGTCACTCAGGCTTGTCACTCAAGCTTGTAGGTGTCACTCAAGGGTGCTCTCAAATACGTCACTTGTGGAGTAGGGCTCGTTGGTTTCTTGTCACTCAGGCTCGCAGCTGGTTTCTTGTCACTCGCAGAGCTGATTTCTTGTCACTCGCATGTTTCTTGTCATTCAAGCTCGCAGATATCACTTGGAGGTGCTCTCCAATATGTCACTCGCGGGGTAGGGTTCGTAGGTTTCATATCATACAAGTGTATCTCGAATATATATCACTCGGTACAAGCTTAAGTCACTCAAGTGCTTGGTGCTCACACAAGTCACTCACGTACTTCCGAATATGTCACTCGCGGTGTAGGGTTCGCAAGTTTCCTTTCACATAGTTGTCTTTCGAATATATCACTCGGTGCTCACATATGTCACTCAGATGCTCTAAAATATGTCACTCGCGGGGTACGGTTCGCAGATTTCCTGTCACATAGGTGTCTCTCGAACATATCACTCGGTGCTTGCATAAGTCAGTCAGGTGCTCTCAAATATGTCACTCGCGGGGTAGAGTTTGCAGATTTCTGTCACACAGATGTCTCTCGAATATCACTTGGCTTGCACATCACCTTCTTGAATAACTCACACTCTCCTCGAATAAGTCACTCTTTCGAATATACCACTCAGGCTCGCACATCGGCGCTTTGAATAAGTCACTCTACTCTCTCGAATATATCACTCAGGCTAGCACCTCAAATAAGTCACTATACTCTCTCGAATATATCACTCAGGCTCGCACAGTCGCCTCCTCGAATAAGTCACTATTCGCACGACTAAGTCACTCTCTGGCAGGCAGGTGCTATCAAGTAAGTCACTCGCGGACTAGGTAACTTTCATTCGGAGGGTGCTCTCAAAGAAGTAACTCGGGGCTCCCAAAAATCACTCGCTCGCAAGTGTGTGCACAGTGACGTACTCCCCCGCTCTTTATATACCCTATACTTACTAGGGTTTGGGTCTACAGCCGCCACCACCCGACGACGGACCCTTTAGATTTCGGGTCGAGTACAGGGCTCGACCCTAACCAGACCCGTACCCAACTCGAACTCGGGTTTTCGGGTTCTATCCGAACCCGATCGGAGCCCTATTGAACACCCTATGGTTGCTACTACATACCTACTACCCTGCATCAACCAATAAGAGAACTGCTTATAGTAGAGCGAGGGTTTATTAGCCCTAAGTGAGTGATAACTAGCCACTCCCTAATAATATTATATATATATATATATATATATATTAATTATTATGGTTATGTATGCACTAAGATCAAATGTATCAAAAGAAATGTATGTTCACTATCAAATCTATTTTCCAAATCAATTGATTTTAATTATCATAATATTAAAATATATATACAACTTTTTTTATAATATTAAATGTGAGAGTACTTGTTTTTTATATGTAAAATCTTCATGTAAGAAATTTGTTTAATCTTCAATGTCTTAATGAGTCTATTATCGGATTACCTTTTGCAAACAGACTTTTTTGTACTTCAATATGAGTACCTATTTATATTTATTTAATTTTTTTCTTTTTTAGTAAGAAATAAATTCTCTATTTATAAATTTTAAAAAATATTTATTGATACTTTTATTTTTAAAATATAATTGTATTTTACAAATGGTGCTTTCTTTCATTTTAATCAATCAATCTTGTCAAATTTTATATCATAGACTGTAAAAATAAACATTATCTGTAGTTTTGACTTAATTTATTAATTTTTTGGAGAAATATGTATAATCTACCTAATTTGTTTATTTTTTTGGGATAAAAGTAACAAAAATAGTACATTTTTTTTATCATAAATTCATCTTTTAAAAATAATTATGCTTTATATATTTCTTTGAGATGATAATAAAAAAATAAGATGAATTTAATATAGTTTACATTCACTAAACCCAATTTTTCATAATTGATAAAGTTATCAGTAACAACAAACAAATATAAGAATTTAGAAACACGATTTTTCAGTTTAAATTAATTTCTAATTGATATGTATAATATGGAAATGCATAAATTGATACTTAAACAATGTATAGAAATCTTGCTTAACAATGAGAAATTTTTTTTTCTTGCTGAATTTGTCGCTTGATATATTAGATAGGAGCTCCTATTTACAAATTCAACACAATATCTCCTACATTATAAATAGGAGCAATATTCAGTGTAATTTGTAAGAGTTGATTCACAAGGGAGTAATAGATAAAGATTTTAGTGAGTAATAGTTTCGATCGAAGGCCGAGAATGTCTGTCGGTCATGCACTATCCACTTCTCGTATTGTGCTGTCGGTCGCCGGAACATTTGAGATCCATGTGCTGAGGGATTTTGGGCGAACGTAATCGTGTCTACACAGTCAGACAGTTACACATATTTCCTCGTTTCTGGAATCGAGTCTTCGTCGAACCTCGCGATGAATAGAACGCCAACCTTAAACCCTCAACCCTAGAGATGGAGACTGGGAAGAAGGATCGAGAGGAGTAAATGTGGGATCGAGCGTCAAGTCGTGAAAGGATGAGCCGAGGGAGCAAATGATACAACGGAATGGTCTGCAAATCTTGCGCGGAGCGATCAGCCGGTGTCGAAGCCGTGGGAATGGAAATGTGATGGGGATGAGGATGGAGACGAGCGGAGCCATGGAGGACACTCGCAGTGTCGACAGCAGGAAGGATGGGAGCAGCGACGAGTCGAAGGCTACGGGCGCTGCGGTGGTGCAGGAGGATGGCGAGGAGCGAGGGGCCGACACGAGCGGCAATGCAAGAAGCTCGTGTGGAAGCAGGAAAAGCTGGAGGAGGAGAAGAGCCGTGGAACGCAGGGAAGCCGAAGACATCAAGCGATGTGGAATGTGGTTGCCATCCAAGCGCCGGTTCTGCGGCAGTAGTGCTCTGGCCACTTCGCCCTTCTGCGGGAACCACGACCCCGCGGCGGGAGAGAAGAGGGTTCCGTGCCCCGTCGATCCTTCGCACACCGTCTTGCACAACGATGTGGCAGCGCACGTCAAAAGATGCCAGGCGACCAAGCACATGAAGTTCTCCGAGGAGCAGCCCTACTACTGCAAGGGCATCAACGCCGGCAGCGACGGTGAGGAAGATGGGCGAGCCTCGCGAGACGACCACGATTGCTCCGAAGAATCGCGCGCAGCCGCCGAGATCCCTCCCGCCGAGATCCCTCCCGCGGATCCTCCCCGAGAGAACGGAGCATGCGGCAAAACCGAGCAACGAGTCGAATTTCTGAGCTCTGCCGCAAAGCGGTCCGCGATTACGGCGCTATCCGAGCGCCAGTTTCTGGAGCTGGTCCGACGCATCGAGTCCGCGCATGAAGCGAGCCGCTCGGAGACCGTCGAGGAGAGCTTTCTCCAGCCACCGCAGTGTCTGCAATGGTGGGATCGGAACCGTGACAAGAGATTACCCTTCAAGGAAAAGCACGTCTCGCAGCAGGCGTCGATGCTGGGGAACTTCGAGGCATTCGGGCTTCTGAAGCGGGACGGGGCCGGGGACGCCAACGACGACTCCGATTCATCGAAGGCAGGGGGAGATTGCGAGAGTCGAGCGTTCGTGGAATTCGGGGCCGGAAGGGGGTATCTGTCCCATATGCTGTGCGACAGCTACGGAGTGTCGTCGGTGGTGCTGGTAGAACGCAAGGCCTACAAGTATAAAGCGGACCGGACGCTGCGACAGCTGACGGGAGTTTCCGTGGAGCGGCTGAGGACCGACATCGAAGACCTCTCGGTGCGAGGCGTCCCAGCCTTGCAAGGGCGGCGCTACGTCGCTGTGAGCAAGCATCTCTGCGGGCCAGCCACGGATTTGACATTGCGGTGCTGCCTGAATGAGGCCGGCAGCTCGGATCCGACGGGACTCGATTCGAGTCCCGTCCTGGAGGGCGTGGGGATCGCTACATGTTGTCATCACCTCTGCCAGTGGAGGTCTTATGTCAACAAACCGTATTTCCGAGAAATTGGATTTTCTGAAGCCGACTTTAACATGATCACGTGGTTGACAAGTTGGGCTGTGAACGAGAGCGGGGATCATGCTGAAGTCGAGATTCCGGAAGCGCAGAAAATTCCAGACCATAGAGTAGTACCAGATGGGACATCCCCTGGGGCACAAATCTTTGCACCGCGCTTGTCAGAAGTCATGGATGCCATGGAGGATGGCGCGAGAGCAGAACTGGGAAGAAAGTGCAAACATTTGATCGATTTTGGGAGGCTTCTGTTTCTCAGACGGCATGGAATGAGTGCGAAGATTGTTAAATATATCTCGGCAACGGTCTCCCCTGAGAACAAATTACTTTTAGGTAGGAGAATTTTCGCTTAGATGGATCAGAGCATTCATTGCCTCGACATGTACTTTCCTCTTCGGTGACTCTGGTGCCTTGGTGGGTGAATAAAGTTCCACTGGTGGCTCGTCAACTTTTTCTGTTACACCAAGACAGGAAAGTGCAGCAGGGCTGGGTTTCAGCTTCATTTCAGTCCTGAAGACCTCTGATATCATGACTGTGTGAGGGATGTAACCGAATACCTCAGAAAATCTCATGGCCACTCCACACGAGCACTTACTCAGGAAAGCGCTTTTATTGGAAAGTTGGGCGTGTCCGCACTCTCGAACGAGTTCTGAAGATGTTACTTTCTTCTTCATCCACGCAGCAAGTCGCGGGGCCATATCCTTTCACTGCTTCACTCGAATCTCAGATGGACAACTCTGGTACCGATTATCAAGGTTCATGGTTTGGTTATGGTATGCTGACAAGGTGCAGTAGAAAGTCATGAGATAATCGTTGGCATGATTTCCAGAATTCCTCTTATCACCTGCATCATAGTGGGATGAGAGAAAAGTAAACGCCCGAAAAACGGTAAGGGAGTTGAGACGGCTGGCAAAAGCGATGCACGTGGAAATTGAAGCTGAATGTCACAAACTGGCAGCGAAGGAAAAGAATTGGGAAACGCACGTTGAATACACATGAAAAACGAAACCCACAGTAACGGTCAAAACTGTATGAGATCTGAGTGATTTCGGTTTTTAATATGAATACTCTTCAACCAAGGCTTCTACGTCGACGAGACTTTCATTCGATTCTGGTCATAATACGACTCTCATGCACCTCCGATGCGACTTTCCGTTTCTCTTGATGTTATGAGGTAATATCACTCCTTAAAGTCCATGAAGTATGAAACTTTGAGGGGATTCAACCTGTTCAAGACATGATCAGAAAGATCATGTGTTTCAAACCGATATAAAAATAAATTCTCCCCCTTTTCAAAATCGGCTTCGTTGCAAAACATGCGTACTGGAGGACCTTGATGGCATCTGCGTGAGACGTACTATGGCCAACAGTATAACATGAAACTCATTGTATGAATCGAGAGCAGCTCAAGTATTTCAAGCGTTTACCTCTGCAAAAGTAAGACAAGTCTTCTAGGACTAAATGTTATTTTTACTGACTTACAATACAATATTTAATGTCCGTAAAAGTCTGACTATGTTTCAGAAGCCTGCTGAAGGGTACCCACATGCATTGTAGACTGCTTCCGCCATTGTTCCGTTTCCTTTCTCAGCCTGCATATAGTGAAGTCAGAAAGTGCTAGACAGATACCTTAAACGGAGAGGCCTATACTAACATTAAGGGCCACCTCATACCAGTCTCGTTCAGCATAGAAACTCAAAATGTTTACAGGATGAGGAGGTTTCTTGACGAACATCGAGGAAAGGTGTGAGATCCGCACCTCTTGTATTTTTGAGATAAATAATCCGAAGTGTTGCGAGCTTTTTGAAGCTTCTTGGACAAGACATGATGCCCTTGCACTGCTTTCTTCCTTTTATCTGATTCCACCTATCATGGTAAAAAACCTAGGAATTAGCACTGTCGAGAGCCAATTCACTTCATTGAAAAAGAGGGGAGGATGTTTTGTTTCAAGCACCTTCAAAGTGGTACGCAACTCTTCTATATCTTCTTGAGATTTGATCAATTCTCTATTTTTCGTCCTCACAGCATCTTCACATTCAGCCATTTTTACATGCAGCATTTTGGCCTTCTCCAGCTCTTCTAGTAAGCTTTTCTGCAGATGCAATCCTTCAATAGCTGTAAAACCGCGCAACTTGTCAGTAAAGCCGCAGTCATAGATCGCTTCCACTGAACCGTGACTGGATGTATCTGAACGAAAATGAACTCACCGCTGCAATTTTCACACGCCTTTTGCCAATTGATGCCTAGTGACAAGCATGCATTATCTATGTAGACTTGAGGTTTCGTTCATTTCACCTGATGCATTCTCTATGAAAAGAATGTCTTGCAATGCTCCCCATTCATGCACTCCCCCAAAAATCACAAGACGTTGCCCGGATTCCACCATAGTATGCATGGACCGTCCGTGTGCCTCCCCTCCTTGACCAATGTCTTGCAGTGAAAGCTGAGTCTCTTTCTCCGGCCACTTATTCCATCTCTTGTGAATGGTATGAAAACTGAAGACATCTCCAAGATACTTTTGCCCATCGAATCCTCCGTGCAAGACAAAATGCTGACCGACAATAGCAACCGCGAACTGCCTTCTTGGAGACGGAACTTCTCCTTGAACTTCGACATTGTTCCATGTCATCGAGTCAAAATCTAGAAAGTGGAGGTCAGCCAAATTCTCTGATCCATTGAAGCCACCAAAGACGAACATCTTGGTTCCGATGATTGCTGCACCATGACCCCGACGAGGAACGGGTGGTGTGCCAAAATACTCTGGCGAGCTCCACAACATCCAATGGACATCCAGAAACCACAGTTCGTTGAGCAGGCCTACGGACGATCTGTAACCCCCGAAAACCACCATATATGGTCCATTCTCGTACAGACAACTGGTGTGTTGACAGACAGGACCTGGTTTGGCACCGTGGACGCTGGCAGGTTGAGACCACTGACACGACTCTGCAACACATCCATTCAGAAAGTAAGAAATATATAGAAGGAAGAGCCCTTCAAGGAAGTTGGGTTAGGAAACATCTGTCTCAGACTTGAGAATGTTCAGCGGCCGGTGTCAATATCATCCTCGGTTCAGTTCATGCACTGATTTCCAGATCAAGACGTTCTCAAATAGAAACTGGTCGACTAAGGAGTTTCAAATCTCATGCAATTTCACGAGGTCAACGAAATACCAGCAGTTGAAATATCATGATGAATCATAGATGAAATGTATTAGTACTTACGACCATCTTCAGAGATATTTAGAACAGACACGTCTGAGAAATCTTTCGTTCCATCGAATCCTCCGAATATTATCATCTTTTGATCTCCAACCGGACAAGCTGTGTGCGTTTGTCTAGGACTAGGTACAACACATCCCTCTGCAGCTGACGATGCAGCAGTCTTCCACACCATTTCATCTGTTCCAGTCACAGAACATAAGGACAAATAATATTATGTACTATTCGCTGTCCTATGTAATCAAGCTACTACGCTAATTGTTAGAACTCCAACTGCCCCCTCAAATTTTGAGTGATCTTAGACCTGTCCTATGACGTAATTGTTAACATAGGAGCAGTTTCTTTCATTCTTCAGCAACAAAGTCTTGATTCTAAATAGTACAAGTTAGTCAATAACTTATACTATGTATATGAGTAAAGCAAAGTGGTAGCAAGATATAGATATTCCATGACATTCAACATGAGCATCATGCACTACTGTAATGAGTTTTTGCAACAGAACTGAGAAAATCAGGAGCTTACGGGCCCACAATGGTAACATTAGCTTGACAAGATGATGCAAATTTACATTATGCATGATAGAGAATGCGCTTGTGAGGTCGAGGAGGTTTTGAATCTCTAGGGTTAATTGAAGTTTTATCCTGAAGATATTGTACATTCTTTTGAACACGAGATGTTTAACTAAAAGTGACCAACAGGCGGTTGCTGAATACTCTTGATCAGGTTAACAAAGACATGATGGCATATACACCATATGCTTGGGATTTTGACTTAGCCAAACTGAAACCTTAAAGTAAAATTGATATCTTTGATATGTTTGGAAAGAAATGTGCAGAGATGACTAGTGAAAAACTTGAATATGAAAGATGACCATATGAATGCAAATACTGCCAACTTAAACTTATGTTATTCTAGGATTGATGATTGCGACACGATCATTCATTCTCTTTTGAAGATTGGACATCCGTGGAGTAGTTTACTTGAGAAGTTGGGGTTTCTTATCCTTTCATTTTGATGCTCTTTGCGAAGACAAAGTAACTTTTACAATAACAGGGCTGTCACTTTTGCTTCTAGGTCTGACGAAGAAGACAATTTGTGTATAAGGTCCAGGTGCCAAACCTCAGATCTTGTAATCACATAGTTACCTGTCTCGAAAAGGATAACGTCATTGAAATATTCTTCCCCGTCAAAACCTCCAAACACGACAAGACGAGAACATATTTCTGAACCAATCTTCTTCGGGAGAGAAACTGCCGTGTGGCCAGCACGAGCAGAAGGAAACCACGACAATAGAGGAGTTGTCCATCGAAGCAGAACTGCAGAATGCAGTATTTGTATACACAGTCAATTCTCCTTTAGATCAGTTTTGGAGTACACCTTTGTGGTGATAGTGATATAAATCTAATGTTAACAAAGCATAATATATTGTTAGGAGTTGTTGTGGAAGAAGAAAAAAGAATTAGCTAATGTTTATTTCCAAAAACAAGTTTCACAAGCTCGATTGCAAGATTAAGCCCTCCAGGCTCATCTTCATAAAATCGGATGCGATCGACCGAGCCTTGATATTTCTTATGACACCGGAAGCCCGAGGCTGGAGATGACGTGAGTTTGAGAAGTTTTGGAACTGACCATCGAGAAAGCCAGATGTCCATACAGGATTTCTTGCCAAAGCGGCCTCCGCAGAATTGATGATTTTCCTCCTTCCATTTTCTAGTTCGAGCACCAGCTTATCCATCTCACGTTGCACGAGGTCTGCTCCTTTCAGATCGATCTCCAAAACCTTGACCATGACCTCTAGCTTGTGAGCTTCTTGTACAGCAGAGGACCTCCTACACATACTCAATCATAACTATCACTCAGCTTTTCAAATGAAGCCTGCTCAGCATACCTTTACTGACTGTGATTTCCTTTCGTGAGTTACTCATCAATTTGACGTGGTTATATTAGGTGTGGCCACTGACGAATCCACGAGTAATTACTTACTACGAAGATCGACCGATGGAGAGATTGTCAGCATATTCTAGGCTTATTGTCCAGCTGTTCAGCATCTACTGCAGTGGGTATTTGGATCAGCTCTTGGTAACCCAGGCAATAATCCACCAACTAGAATCATGACTACATGACCATATCAAAAAGACAATGTCGCGGAATTCAGAAAAACAACAACGTTCCATCCTGTACCTTCTATCTGCAACATATACAGTCCAGTGGTAGAAGAATCTTTGCAAACGTCTCCGTGCGGTGCTCTTTTGAACTTGAGCCACTTTCTCTTTTGCAGCCTTCCAGAATTTCACTGTAGATTTCCAGTAATGGAAAAGGGCTGACCTGTGCATAGAACTTCAACCTTTATCGGGTGGTTAAAGCAAGCTTCTCGTCCAAAAGAGAGATCGAAGCAGTGAGCCAAAGCGCGCTCTTGACTGATTCCAGCAATCTTGTCGACACATCAAGGAAATTAGTTTCACAAATAATGTGGTTCTTGTGGGCCTCAAAATACCGGATGAAGTTCAGTAAATATAGTAACGTCGTACCTTAGCAGCAATCTTCGCTGGGATCGACCTTCTTCAACCAGGTTCCCTATAACCCAGCGATGCTTTATCTGTGAGAAACCCCATCTTAGATACCATATTTTCGCCTTCATTGCTAGCAGCTTTTCGATAGTCCTCAAATACCATGTCCGAAGAACATGTTGATGCCACTTGGTTAGTAAAAGTTGTAGCAACCTTGTTCTTCTGCGCTTCCCAAAATAGGCCATTCGATCCTTGACAACATGCACTGTCCTTATCTTCCTGTGCCAGATCTCAAAACCAACAAGCAGTGCCTTCGATTCTCTGAGCTGAATGCCCAGTGTCATCTGCTGGATATGTCTCTTCTTCCTAAGAACTACCGTCCGCCACTTCTTGACACAAGTACTAACCAATTTCTTGACGCAAAAAACTCCTGACCCAACAATTTGGTCTCTGGCTTCCTCGACACATATGTTCCACTGTGTCCAGGATTTTTGCAAAGATTTCTGTCCATTGAGCTTCCGGGCTCTTTTCAGCTGTAGTTTCTTATAAATAGAACTCTTAGAAAACTCCTGCCATCCTTGAAATCCAGTTCTCAACCGGGATGAAGTGCAAAGTTCGAGTAGCTGTTTGCCTGTTTTCTTCAGCTTCTCTTTCCACTGACTCCTCATCCACCAACCCTTAAAACACTTTCGAAACCAATGACGCCTTGCTTGAAAACTGAGTTGCTGCTTATTTCTGATTTGCTTACATCCAGCTATAAATCGGTCGAATCTTCGAATCAACGTAAGTCGTTGCCAGTAACTTTCTGCTTTCTTAAGAGTCTGCAGGGCAAGTACAAGAGCGTCTTGTGCTATGTTGGACTCAAGGGATGTCAAGACGATGGGTAGCATGTATATACCGGAGTTCACTCAAACAGGCGACTAATCAAATATATCCTTTGTGGTTTGGATACTGGAATGTTGGTTAAAGCATCAGTCAAGGAGGGAACATCTGGAGCTCCCTGGAAGGAGTGCTAAACATCCAAGGTATAAAATTCTTTGCAAGCATAGATATACAAGGATAGATCTTTGCACCCAACACACGAGAGTTTGACGCTTTTCGTTTCAACGGGTGGAAAAAATATTTCTCGCCAGAGAGAAACGAGAGGAGAGGGAAACGATAATCATTATACAGATAGTTGCCAATGTCTCCTTAAGGATCACCAACGTTCCACTGCTCTGGAGAAATTTAAATTGGGGCATTCGGCCTAGATACATGTTACATACCCTTTTCTTTCTGCAAAGTTCGATGTATCGCCACCAGGAGAATAAAAATGTGCAAAGTAGCTGACTTCTCGCAATGATTTGTGTTCTTTCAATGAGACGTGTTCTCATGGTCTCTGCTCTTCCAATCAAGTAGAGTTCTTCTTTTCCTTTCTGAAGAGCTTCCTCTAGAAGTTTCCTGTCGTATTCAGCTCGAGTGTGTGCCTCCATAACCTGGTTGGCTGCCTAAATAAAACACATGCTTCTTCACTACCTCGAAATCTTCTTCCCCAATTATAATTATACAGCGATCTTCAGCAGGCTGCTTATCCTTATTAAATACAGAATCCGACCGGTTCAATACTCGAATTGGGCCTTACATCATTTAGTCGGGATTGAAGTTGTTGGTTTCGATGTTCAAGCTCTAACAGGGCACTATTTTTCTGCCACTCCCATTGAGAGACTGCATGCTGCATGCGCACATTAGTATGAAGTCGTAACATGATCCAGTCTGCTCTGAACGGTGAAACGAAGTTACTTCTCATAGTCTACTCCACATTCTCTACATGTCTCAGAGCTTTCGGACAGACTGAGAAGAGAATAAAGAAAATTGCCATAGAAGATTTGCAAGGAAAAGAGTTGCCATTTCACAAAGTTTTTGCTGTCCTCGTAGTTATGCTTTCGAAGATGCGAGACAACAAAACATCCGCTGCAGAGAACATTGACTACCTTGCTGTCAAAGCAGTTGTCATTAAATGGCATGACCAACTTCTTGATAAGGGCCTCTTTAGAAAGGGCATTGTGGATTGCGTCCATTACATCGCTCTGCAACGTATGCATATTTCCCTGAATAGTCACGAAAACCTCAGATTTCTCAGAAGAAAGTGTGTTCAAACAGCTGAGAATGTCATTCTCCTAGATCAGCTGACTTACACACTCACTACATTCCGCACGCTTTATCGGTATTTACGTTTGTGTAAACTACCAGTTACAATTCAAGAACTTTGCTACAGTAGTGGTTGACTGATGTCAAGCTAAAGGGACCAGAATTTGATCAATGTCGACCGACAAATTCAGTCCATTACCTTGGAAGAATCTACGTGCCTTGAGGAGAATCTTGGAAGACTGACTCCCCAGTGATAAGGTACCCTCAAATCTCCAGAGAAAAACGATTCATGACCGTGCAGCATTCCATCTGCAGCACATTCTGGGTCTGCAGAAGCCTTGCGCCTACCTCGTTCAATTCTTACACTCGCAGCAAGGACTTCGTCGACTTCAGGAACTTCAGTTCCCGATGCGCCAGATCCCGCAGATGCGGCCAAATGGGCTCTAAATATGTCCCCCGGCTTGATGTTGCGGCGACCCTCATACCCCATCAACTCCATCCTTCTAGGCAATTACGATTCCCTCCACCAGTAACTATCCACAGAAAGAAATTCACTCGGATCTCCTCATTAGCACACAACAAACTGCAGGTCAAATCAGGCAAATTTCAACATCAAACTTTTCACATCAGTTGCTCTTTTACAATTCAATTTCTCACGAATTCCATCTCAGCTCGAATCGTGCCTTCAAGCTAATCGAGCTCAAAGCATTTGTTATATATTTTCCACACTCGCTTCGACAGTGGGAATTGTATATATTTTTTAGGATGCTGAAATGCGTTCTGATTTGACTTTGTAATGCACATTCACTTGAATTGATACTCTGTCTGCCACCGAAGGCCTTGCTACTGAGTTTCGCTGCGTTTTGTCCTGCAAGTCGCATCAAGAAAGGGCCCCCTCCTGGCGTCTGCCAAGAATTTGGCTTCTCGGAGTCCACAGTAGGCGAAATGACGGCCGTAATCACCAAAATTATACGGTCAAGGCAGTATAATACAAAAATACACCCATCTATACAGTACGATAGAATACAGTGCAGCGCTGTGGGAATTCCAGGACTACAGTAGCACTGGAAACTGCACACAGTACAGGACCAACTGCCCTGCACTATAGTTGTAGGTGTTTACTGCGACCTTCCATCTTCAACGCCGTCGGTCCGCAATTCAAGAAACGACGAGCAACTGAGTACTGAGTGATTCTTTGGCCACTGATACTTCAGCAATGATTGGCTCGAAAGCTCCCAGCTATATGGAATTTCTGTCGCATACAGTACCGTATACAGAACCTGAGATGACACGACTCGGAGCTCGGAGCTAGTCAAATTCAACATGGAATGATCACGGAAACTCTAATTCATGACATCGGGATTAAATTCGAGTTCTTTTTTTCTTCCCTGCCGGAAAGGAGATCACATCACCGGAGTCGGTGTTGACCCTTCTGCATCTCTGTCCCTTCTTTTATTTACCTCCTTCCTCCATTTGGCTTGTTCATGCCAATGTGGCTCAGTATTTACTTTATTCTATAAGAGTATCCCGAGCGCATGTGAAATAAGAGTCGTCGACATACGACATGTATCATCGGCGGATGATACATGTCGTATGTCGTACCGGAGTCATGCCATGTATAGTCTTTCACCGCGGACCGTACCGTACTTTCAGAGCCGTTCCGCCGTGTTAGTGTTTGGTTACTTCAGTACAGCCATGTTGAGCTGTGAAAGGAACTTATGTACGGAATCTGGATTTATGACTCGGTGATACGTCCGCTATCGCCGGCCGATAAATCGAGTGATTATGTTTCGCAGTCTGATACTGTCCAGTGTCCAGAGAGGGTCGTCATAGAGTGCCCTAAGACGCTGATGTCCATACCGTACACTGATTAATGGCCTTCGATGTAGGATAGACGGCTCCGATTCCTAGATGCGGTATCTGCAATCTGATTGGTTCATTGGTCTCCCATCCATCCACTGTTGAGAGGAAGCACGGAGCGCCTTGCCAGGTCGGACGTTTGTCCACTTTGCACGTCGTGCTTGCTAGAAAGGGACTGGGCGTCGTTCGGTGGGGGCTGACCTGGCACGCTTTTGCAACGGTAACACGGCGCGAGGTCCTTGTAGGATTCCACGTCGGATTTCGCGCGTTTTTTTTCGCGGGAACAATTAAGAGGGGACGGGAAGAGAGGGGATCCAATGCTTCACTCATCTCGTCTCAAGAGCAGAGGAGTGGGATGTGGAGATGAGCTGATCAGCACGGGTCTCTCGTCTCCCTCTCGAGGTTTCCGAGTGCGGTTGGTCGATGATGGAAGAGCAAGCAAGAGCTCGCCGAAAGCTTTGGAACTGCTCTGGCCCACGGCTTCATCAGCTGCAAAGCCCATCCATCATCAGCTAGTCTTCTCGGATCATGAGCTTGCAGGCTGATGACTGCTAATCGAAGTTCTGAGGATTCCTATCCTCTTTCCGAAGTTTCCATGACTTCAATTTGAGCTGTGTGAAGTGCGCCGCCAAGAAGTTAAAGAGGAGCAACAGATGTCGTGGTCGAGAGGTAGATTTTCATTTTCAAGCCGCAATGTACCTGAGAGAGGGAGGGCTCTGATGGGCAATCGTACCCATTGTCACGGTGAGTTCTTGGGTATGGTGCAGATGGGGAGAAATGTGTGGCGTGCGGTGATGTGTTCGAAGTGAACCTGAAGGACTTTTCGGAGCCGGAGTCTCTGAGTGGGCTGACGTGAGAAGCAGCCTCCTCGAGCTTTTGAGCGGAAGCTGCATTGCGAGCGATATGACGGGAGCTGGAGATATGGAGGGCAACAGTAGTGAGGTCTCAAGCCCGGCAGATGTGCATTCCAACCACCACTTAGATGCCTTGAAGCACAGCCGAGGACTACTCAGCTTCCGAAGTAGGAAAATGCTGGGACTATTGGCGAAAAGGGGTGTCGCAGGTCCAACCGAGACGAAGGTGTCGGCTCCAACATCAGCCAGGGACGTGAAGCTGGAAGTCATTGCCAATCGTCCTGAGCAGCTCTCCGTGAACCTCACGAAAGAGCAGCCGAAGAAGAACATTCTCGAGGTCAAAAGGACGGTGAGAACGGTAGTAGCTCGGAATGGTGGTTCATATCCCAACGGACGCGTGACGGACAGAGAGAGTAGGAAGCCTCTGAAGGATGACGGTGGGAGTAAGGATGAACCAGCTGTCGTGCAAACACCACCTCCGAAGAAGAAACCTTCGTTACCTGCAAAGTGAGTGCCCAAACAATTGGTTTTCTCCTGTTTATGCCATTCTGTTATCCCATCGCGCATTCCACCTCTGCTTTCTTTCCACGGGAAAGCTTGTGATGAAGATCCGGGAGTTTAGTAGCCGTTGCTCACAGCATCTCTGGTCTGCTAATGCAATGAAGAGTCCCCGTGTAGTCCACTCAGCCCACTGGCCGAGAGACCTGAAGCCGTCGTTGCCCATCTGGCGATTCTCACAAGCTTTCCGAATTTTTCCAGGCTCAAGCTGCTGGAAACATTTTATGAAGGGCTCGAAGCAGCGATCAGCCTTTTGGGGATTCGCCGTCAAATGTGCACCTTCAAGAGCATTTGCAAGACGGTAGAGCAGATGAGTAAGAGGTGAGATCAACTATCAGCGACTTTCTTCCTTGTCATTGTCTCTTAGGAAGCTTTGTTTTTATTATTGTTGTTTAGAAGTTCGTTCTGATTGGGTCTTTTTACAGGCGCTTCTTACGGTCTCACTTGGCACAGTTGAAGTTTCTCTTTCCGGAGGTTATCGAAATCGACTATGTCAGAGTCCCCGACCTGGATTCACGTCGAGACGTCTGGGATTTGAGAATCAGTTTGAAGAGTTTCGTGGGCCTTCCCGGGGGAAGTCCTTTGAAAGGTGCTGCAAGCCCCTCTCGTGACAAAAATGCTCAAACCATCAGGAGGAAAAGAGAGTTTCACGCTCGCCTCCTCAAGTTCAGCAGGTCAACTAACGAGGTGAGAATGGGTCGATTTTCGTGGCAAAATCTGAGCTCTATGATCTTCTTGCCGTAAATGCCGAGCTTGTTAATAGACGTGTTGTTTCAGCGTGTGACGTAAAAAGGCTTTTTCCCCCCTTCTGAGTGGACGAACCTAACGATGTGTCCTGTTTTATCAATCAGAACGTCGATGTGCCTCAAGATCCTCTTCCGCAAAGACCGCTGGGTGGGCCGTCTATGCCTTCTCCCGTCTCCTCAGGGCTGCCGGATTTGGGTGATGCATGCGATACCAACTCTCCGCTGAAACAGCCCGTAGAAGAAAGCTCGGAATCTCCTTTCACTGTGAACGAGGAGGCCCGTCACAAGGTCCCAGAAGCTCGAGATGGCCCAGAAGCTGAACCGGCCCCGGCCTCCATCGCAGAAGTGTACGAGTTCTCCATAGTGCAGCCTCACTGCGGCAGCTTCGTCGACATTGACGTTAGCTCTCATTTTCCGCCATCCTTCAAGAGTCACTTCCAAGAAAGACACAAGGAGCTCTCTGCTATCGAGAGACCGGATCCTGCTGATTTCCTCGACATTGGCTTGACTTCTCATTTTGCGCCGTCCTTCAAACCCCTGTTCCAAGAACGGCAGAAGGAGTTGTCAACAGAATCCAGGTGTCACTCGGGTTCAGTTCTTAGTGAGGCGCATCTGCAGACTTCAGCAATATCTTCAAGAATTACAGCGCGCTTCTCTACTTCATTCGAACACCATATCTCAGAGCCTTGGAAGGAAGGCATCCCGGAGGATGACATTTCAGAGTCGCTGCAATCTTCTGACGGTGGGGACGAGTCTTGCAGGCCTTCTCCCCTTGATAATGAGGAAGCCTCTTCGAGTCTCTTACCTTCGGATTTGAACTCAGATTCATGTTCTCATCGGGCCCCGAGTGTTTTGGAAGCTGAAGAGGCATCTGCATCCGGAGAGCAGGAAGGTGGTGAATCACAGGGAGTCTCAACCATTCACTCGGCTCAACGGTCTCCTCTTCGGGACAGCTCAGTATACAAAGCGTCGGAGGCATCTTCAGCAGAACGCAGATCTTCAATGTCTCCTGCCATCATGAGTCCACTCCCAGGGATGCGGGCTGAGATTCCACACAATCGCGCTCACACCCCCCAATTTGTTTCCACCTCACTTTCGACGCCGTGTTCCAGCGTTCCTAGTACTCCCCACACCAGTGGTGCAAACGTCCAATCTTCGCCTGCCACAGAGCACACTCCGGCATCTGTTAGTCCGAGCCGATTCTCTTATTATGTCCAGGAATCCCCTGTCCCTATTCACGTCAAGAATTCAGAATTGCTTTCTACCGACGCTGTTCCTGTGAAGAGTCAAGGCATCATGAGGTCGCTGAAATTTGGATCCCCTACCAGACCTGTTCGAACCCATATTGCTGCTGCAGAGGAATTTGCCCCCAACACTCCACAGGTTGGTACAGCTCCTGAGTCTACGCCGAAGGGTGAGAGTAAGTACGCTCCATATCAGTCATCTTCTCACACCCCTACGATGAGTACTCCTGAAACTTCGCTGGGGAAGTCAACCTATTTCTCTCCTGTAAGGCCGCAGAGATCACGGGCTCTTCTGTTCAGCACACCGGAGAAAGTCCGTAGCACCGAAGTACCTGTTGCCAAGTTGGGCACTCCCAGTACCTCTCAGCGTTTCAAGTCTCCTCAAACTGGTGGTTCCATGGAACCTCCGCGGTTTATGTCCCCTCCCAAGTCTCAAACTCTGAGTGCTCCGGCCACTCCAGTTCCCCAAACTCCTGTGAGAAGTATTCTCTACTCACCCCCCAAGCGGACCAGATTCAACAGAGGATCATTGTTCTCCACTGACACTCGTGAAGAGGATGGGGCTAAGACTCCTGGACCAAGTGTTGACGAGGCGAAGGCTACTATAGACGCTGCTTGTGATGCTACACCAGACCTGGAGTTAAGCACAGATCCTCGTTCTCGGGAGGAGAGCTTTAATGTACTAAAAGATCCACCATCTATCACGTCCAAAGAATTGACTTATGTTTCAGCAGCAGACCTTGCGATTATCGACAGTCTTCCTCCAGAGCTCGTTCTTTCCGTAAGTCCTCCATCATTCTTTACCCAAAAGGGACTCGTATCGTATTGTCTGCATTCCAATCCCTTCAGTGATTGTACGTAACGAAGGACTCCTTGTTTGCCTTGGAAGGTTATCCTTTGAAGAGGTTTCGGACCCACCTTATTTTAGATACCGATAATTTGCGCGATGTGTCCAGGTGCGAGAGAAGGAGAGAAAGATCAACGATGAAAATACGAAGGAGCTGATGGCACAAAGGAGGAGGCAGCAGATGATGGCTGGCTTACCGAAGATGTTTAATCAGCTTCGCTTAATTTTCCAGTCACTCAAGCGCTCGGTTCTGCCTCGCAACGAGCTCATAAGAAATGTGCTGTCCACGAATGCCGATATAACCGACAGAGGTACTAGCGCAACCCGGTTACACAATATACTCCGTCGATTGAATTTACTCCGTGTCCATAAGATTCATTTCACACTGGAATAATGCGTCCAATCAGATTGAATCTTTCGGTACATCGTAACTTAATTTGTCTGTTTCTATGTAGGCGAGGTGGAGGAGCGTCTGAAGTTGCTCGTTGAGCTTGCACCGGACTGGATCTCTAAACACCCATCTGCTAACGGTGACTATATATACAGGTTGGTGCTCTAGCTTCTGAAGCGCATCTTTCGTGCAATGTGTTATTCTTTTGGAAACTGAACGTGCATGAGTGAAATCATGTGACGACTGAACTTCTCGATGAACTGAAATCTCAGAATCTCGGTCGTTTGGGGTGTCTTCAATGATGGAAACCATGATTGATGATTGGAGAAGTTGAAGCACCTGGACAGTCTTTGATGTACATTCTGAAGTAGACATAATACAGCAGTGAAATTTATCAAATTTTAGTGAAGGAATTTTCAATAGGAGTCCTAAAATGTGAAACACCCGTTCTTCCTTGCATTTAATATGTAAGTATGTTAACTTACTGTTCATAATCTTTTCCCTGTGCAGAATAAACAAGACTGCCAACGTTACAAGAATCCAAAAGAAGATTCTTGGAGATTGTTAGATAAGCTTCAATATACTCTAGTCGTACAACTGTGATGAAGACGAGAGAAGAGGTGGAAGGTTTGGAAGGTTTCTCGAGAAAGCGACAGTTGAGCGCCGAGGACCTTGGAAGATTCTTCCTAGTTGTAAAATGGAGGCGTCGCAACTTGGCCTCGCTTGAGATGTAGAAAGGAAATGAGGGCAAAGGTTACTATGCCCTACGAGTATAGCTATGTATATTAATACCAAAGAAGTAACAGAACTAGATAAATTTCTCTAGACTTGTCGAAAGTTTTCAAATTATTAGATTATGTTTATTAGATTTGTTTCGATTTGAAAATTTCTACACAAGGAAATGATGAAAAGGCCACCTGGACGTGAAAGAAATGGTCAACAAACTGGAGATACGAGTGTACAACAACATCCCTTTTAGATTAAATCAACTTCATTTTTTGCAAACGACAATAAAATCCGAAATATTGCAACTTGCAAACAATAAATCTTTGCGTACGCTGTCAATTCACAATATCAAAAGTCACACAAATATTGCACCTCTTTGTTTAAAACTCTCACAAAGCAAACATAACAAACCTTTAAATAACTCATAGTGCGGAATCTTACAAGCGATCCATCTGTCCAACAACATTTGACTGGTACTGAGATGCTCAGTACTGTGCAAATAGAGTCAACGATGTAACTAGTTTAAAATGGTTACGGAGTAATGTAACCGAAACAAAACTCTGCACAACAACGGTTCCCCAAATGGAATGATCTTATCTACCACACTTTGCTGCAAACCTTATCATGATCTTCACTTCATATTAGTCGGGATGCTCAGTTATGGCAGTACCTCTCCGCTTCGCCCTGCATGTCGGTAAGTGGTACAACATGAGAGGGATTATTTTGGAGGCGGTTCATCATAGCTTTGTTCAAGGCCTCTATAAATAAGCAAATTGATGTTCTCATCAGAAACGAGTAGGCACAGAAAATAAACTCTGTCTTTACCTGCGTGAGGCGGGGGCAGCATGCGGTTTACTTTTCGTGCCTGTCGGCTTTACAGCTGCAACATCCTTGGTCTGCTCTAAAGTGTCTGACATAAATAATGCAACACAAGTTAAGATAGAGATACAGTTTAAGACTAAGCTCCAATATATAGTAAAAACTACTGGATGATAAAATTTTGGGTGCGAGATATTTAACACAAGTTTGCACTTCAATTTGTTAACAGAGATGAAAACAAAATTCTCTTGAGAAACAGAAGACACTCGTACTTGTAGGAGGTGTAAGAGTTCGCCTCGAAGCATCTTGGGTCTCAAACTGCGTAAAGGGTGCACTTGATTGCTGTGAGCCACTTGGTGTAGAGAATAGCTGAACAGACCTATCCCTATGACTTCTCTTCCGACCGGTGTAACTTACTCCAGATGCATCGATCTGCTCATGAAGTTTTTCAACTTTGGCCTGATAGATGACAAATGATCATATTTCGTAAGGATTGATAAATCCTACGATCATTATGTTCAAAATGGAAAGATCCACCTCCACATAAGCCTATATAAAATGTATAGAATTTTTTATAAATAAACGTTGTCCACTATTTTGAAACCGCGGCTATCATGGTTCCTCAATTGAAAGAATGATACGTCTATAATATTTTATTTCTTCTATATTTAATTGTCAAATCAAAGGAGTAAGAAAGGCCATAGTAAAATACCTTCTCTGTGGCAAGACTTGCGGACAGAATCGAGGCTCGAGTTCTCTCTGTTCCATACGTTTATCATAATGGAGTCATTGAAAACACTTGAAGATAACTGCTACATCAAGAGGATATAAGGCATCACTGTAATAGTTAAGAAGAATACAACCACCCAGTACACTTCGTAGCATTTTGAAGGACCACATAGCAATTGAGACATTTTTTACCTGCGTTGATTATAGAAGATTGAGCATTATAAAATCGGAATAATCCCAGGGCAATAGATCCCATAGCATCTTGAACATGTGAGCCATCAAGCTTTGTGACTGGCAGTGACAGTCGGGGAGTTCCCTTGACTTTCTGCGCCACCACGCTGGCAGATGTGGCACCTGCATTGTAACAGAAGCTTGGTCACCAGACTTGCATTCACATGTTCCTAAACTGAGTTTCAAGGTGAGGAGATGTCTCATAATTCATAAGACTGGAACAGGATACTGATCAAGTGGAAGCAAATAAGCACCTGCTTATCATACGACAACTCCATCAGTGGTAAATGGTTGAGGATGCACCATGACCATCCACAGCACTTGCAGGTCCGGAAAATACAAGCTTAACATTGTCGGAGACCAACGCCGCCCTCAGATACACAAGAAACTCGCTCCAGGATCCGCCTATTCCCACCTCATCTCTCTGTGTCATTTCGGAGATCGACAACAGAAGACAGAAGACGTAAGACGATTGGGAATTGGTAACAACATTCGTCAAAAAGACTAACATTTGTATCCATAGGCGATAACACAGTAGTGTTATCGCCTATGTTATCAAGGCCTGCGAAATGTGGAGGAGGTGATAAATACAAGAACAATATGTCATACCCTGTATTCTGACCACATAACACCAAACTTCCTGTTTGTCAAGAGTAAGTCCAGAGAGCTTAAATGAGTTTGAAGTTTGCAATGTGCTTTAAACAAACACAGACCTGTTGTTACACATTGGTATATCTTGACTTATGTGGCCTATTTTTTGACATACATGAAAGCTGAATGTTCAAACTCTCAAGAGTTCTAAGCTCCACAATGACTGACACAGGTTCCAAATGATTGCGTCGACACTCTCAATTCTTCTGCTTTTCAAATTCCTACAAAATCTGATCTCAATCTTCTTGCTCATGACGTTTGAAACACAAAACCTCGACCTTAATGGACGCCGCAAATGCGACACCCGTTCTTATGTTTCATATGCAGACAGTCTTGGAAAGAGAGAGATGTATGGTGAACCATCATCGATTCGAAAATATGGTTGTCATCTCGAAATTCATGATGTTTCATACAAGAATTGTCGATTTATGGTACTAATTTTGGACAGACAACAAAGGTCAAATGAACTGAAACACAGATCCACCACATTTCGGAGATGGTACCAAATCTTGCAGCTGGTCGACAGAGAACTCAGCGCGCCACGTCTGGTCGTGGAAATCAGTTATACAAAGGCACAGATGGAGAAGATCGGTTGGCGTCAGCGAGAAGAGGAAAGGAAGATGAGTCACAGCCCCGTTTCTGCTCACAATCTCGCCCCGTGCCTGACCATACAAAGCCTCGAAATCTTCCACGGTGTCATCCATCCTCTCCCTCCCGCCCTTCCTCTCGCAAAATCTTCTCTCTCACCTGCCGATAATCCCCATTCCACAACCTCTAATACGAGTGACTCCAATAAATCACTCAAACCTTGTCCTCCATCCCTGGTTTCAAAACTGCTGCAATCGCCTGAATTCAATGCTCTGCTCTGCTCTGTTTGTACACGCTTCTGCTTCCGAAGCAACTTCACGCCTGTGACAGTGTTCAAACGTGCCCGGGTGACAAAAACCTGTAATGGCCTGACTCGCTGCCCTCTTCTTCCTAAATTTGTCTGACATTCTTCTATGTCCGAGGAGGCATGCTTTCAACCTGTACTGCCTCCATTGTTTGCCCTCTGGTTTGACCTGGTCTCGATTCTCGTCCTCCTCCTAGGAAAAGGGGAAGAAAGCATGCAATGCGGAGACCCTCCTTGACTTCTGCACCGTCGTGGTTTTGACGACATCATCGTTCACTGGTCATCGAAATCGTTAAACCCCCTTTTGGGCTTAGCTTTGAAATGAGGTATTTTATTATGTTGTAGGATGACTTTCGACCTGGTCAAGCGATTCCAATCCCAATTGTCCCATTTCTTAAAAAAAGGGAAATGTGGGTTTAAATTACGCTCCGTAGATGAATAAAGATTAAAAGATGTGAACTTTGGGAGCGCAAATTTTGGTGAATTAAAGTTTTGAGTAGAGGAAATTGGATGTACTTAGTCTTCTGAACCTCGAGGCAATTTGTCCTTCTAATCTATCACAGCATCTAGGATTGCAAAAAGGACGAGAAGTCCCTAGCAAAAGATGTACATAGATGAAACCGAAAGGGTATCCAAAAGCAGTCGAAATATCTTATATCCGACAAACACCTTTAATTCTGTTGGTATGAGGATAGTTTGACCGTCCACACACCCACATTGCAAGGAACTTCGAACACTTATTCTGACAGTCTTAATTAACTAATATTGTCATGAGTAGAATAATTTACACTTAAAATTGTTCATGTCTTGTGTTTGATTGGCTTGATACATAAGAAATATCTCCAAGTTGATACTCATCAGATCCGGAGTTACTAGATGAGCTCCAATACCAATTTACATAAACAAAGAGTGACAACACTCTTGTCTCCCATTGTTTTATATTACGAAGCCCTTCTTCTACTCCCGGTTACATGGCTAAGAGTTAGACACCCCTATGTCATGATAACTAGCACAAGATAACATCTTTGAGACCAATTTTATTTCCAATCCACATCCCCAGCTAGAAGAGGGATGTTTCATCCAATACATGTGCACACTACCTATAGGTTTACAATAGGGTATATTTGCCGCGCTTGTGCACCCAAATGCACTGCCAGTTATTAATATATTATCAAACCATACAATATCATAATGAGCTCTCTGAAATCTCAGCTAATAACATTCGCATCTCTAGTATACCAGCTCATCTTCTTAGTACTGTAGCTCTCCATTCCTCTTGGCAGCAGCAAGTAATCTGATTGGTCGTTGTGGAACTTAATAGTCTTTCATTTAATTGTAATCTAAATTCATATGCGTGCATTCATCAGTGATCTCCTTATTGCATCACACAAACAGCATGTTATAATTTATAATTACTTCAAATCGTATGGTCCTAATATTCGACGTAAACCTTCATCAGCCCAATTAAGATATGAAAACTTGTGGGCAACCCGGTAGTCTTAATGTACTTAATGTGTATCAAAAATAAGGTTCTGCTTCTTTTCACTTGTTTATGTACCTTAATAATCACTGTAATTTCAAACTTACAGTTCTAAAAGATTTTGTACTTTTGTTATCCCGACTAGGAGTTCATAATTCAACCCAACGTGCTTCAACATCATTCTAGTCCCAGTCAGCTTTCGATTGAATTACTTGGGATGCATGAGGTTCAAGACTCAAATCTTTTGATCTTAGTGGAGTACAACGACCTAGGTCGAGATCTGTGCACATTCTCTAAGTAAGTCTGGATTAAAACAAGATAAAGATTGGCTTTATAGAATTTTAGTATTTGCATTAATATGTTTAAATCGAGAGACTTTGGTGCTGAGCAAATTACCTTTTCCACCAATCCTAGATTCATAAGCAACATGTATGAATTTATATTGATATGTCTGACTTCTCTTGTATGCTCTTGTCACCTCTAATGACGACATACAGCTTAGTCATAATATAGAAGGATATTCGTTCTTTCAGCACCTACTTAACTTAAATATCATTTTGCTCTCTTCTTCCACATTGTACGCTTCATGCCAGTTTTTTTTTGCCATGCCATTTTCATTATGACTGTCCTTCATTCACAACATCATTCAATGTATAAAATGAGATCAAGACAATGGAAGATTCATGATCATATTAAATGATAGAGTAAAAATTACCGTTTTTAACATATATAACTAATCAGTTAGAAAAAAAATTAGTTTATATTAGTTTATGGTTTATTCAATTGGTTAATTTATCTATCACATGAGATCAAGTCACTCTAAAATTATCTGAATGATTTTATCCTAAATTACCAAATTATTTTTTACTATTTGATATTTATTCATCTGATAACCAGGTCAGAAATCAACCATCCAAATTTATAAAAATTATGATATTCAAATTTTAACTAAAGAGGCTATTTACGAAACACACAAATTTTATTTCACTTTCTCAAGATAGTACGACATAAAAATTGAAATTTGATTATATTGAATTACTTTAACGATTTAAATTTTAGACTGTATTAGGTTTTATTTCCTAATCATTAATCTGTTTGCAACACATTGCTTTCATGAAGTTTAGTGTCTATCAAGGGAACAAAGTCTATCATTAAATCTGAGAAAATCACCTCTAAACATAAAGCTCTCTCTTTTTTATCTCAGTAGAATAATTTTTTATGTTGTGATTATGTTATTCTAATGTTTTTCTTGTGGGAGCACAAAAATAGCCAGAATATCAAGATAATACAATGATTTTTGAAATAATAAATATTGCAAGCTACAGATAAAAAAAGTTAAATTTTCTTTTGAAAAATTTTAACCTAAGAATATGTATCATAGTATTCTAAAAAATAGACATTAGAGTGGATTAGTAAGATACGTCATTCTGTCGGACATGATTCTAAAGTAACAACTCTCGTAATAAGTAACAGTGCTTTTAATAAATAAATTATATAGAACAGTCTTGTTTAATTTATAAGAGTTTTCATATTTCTATAAACATAGAGGATATTGAAGTTTTTATGTGTAATTGTGCTATTTTACAGTGAAAATGTTTCGATATGATAAGGGATGGATTTGGACTCTAATTAGTAATCCCCTCGGTGTTTTCTTTTGAAAGGAATGGAAATCACAGTGGAGTTTTGTGAAAAAGTGAATGAGAAAAGATGTGAGGTGAGGGAGGTCAATCAGATATAGAAAACGATGGGAAAAACCCATCAAGCCAAGCAAGGAATGAACCTAATCCAAAGGCCTAGCCCCAACGTGAGGTTGGTGTTGGCTGTTTGATGGCTGACACGCTCAGAGAGATCTAGTTTTCATTCATCATTGGATCCAATGTTTGTGTTGAAAGTTTGTGAACCCATGAGATGAGATGGGTATACCCATCGTGTTCAAAGTTTTTTCTCAACGGGTGAGGTGTTAGAAGAAGCACGCCGAAGTGGAAAGCAATTTTTACCTCAATGCAGAGAAACTTGAAGCGAATACATCAGATGAAGTACATGCGAAAACCACAAAATGCTTTCTATCCCAAAGGTTATAATTTATTCCAGTTATCCGAAACAACTTCATAGATATCCGCAACCATCAGAGGATAAAAATTATCCATGTTATTTTTCTCTTTCGTCATTGTCAATTCACCCGTCGGAGGCGATAATGTGAATCGGTTGCAGAAGAAACCAGTCGCCACACGCCAATCCACAACTGGCGACCGAATAAACACAACGAATGAGGGAGCACAGCAGAACAACACAACTTGAGCCAAAAGAAGGCGCTCCTGCATAACGGAAAGTGTACTGTACTTTCTTTGCAAGAAAGCGAAGAGCCCGAAGTGTGAGCATAGGAATGGATGCAAAGCTCGCCGTCAGTCCGCCCGTCCGTCCATCCGTCCATCCGTTTGCGTGCAAGCAGATTGCCAAGGGACCGAACCCCAGGGGCATTAATCAGGAACAAACTGTGTGAAAATCCACGTGGCAAGCCGAAGGGTCCGTACACGTCAGACTTACAAGCTCCAACACAGCCCAGTGGGGCTGGCAAAGTTACGGTCCCGGGCGCCCGAGGCTAGCAGCCTCGTCGCGACGACGTCGTGGTCGTCATTCAGAGCGCCTAGGAGCGTAGCTTTTCATTGGGCACGGTGCGCCGGGAAAGGCGACGTCATTATTTAGCGGAGAGGCGCGGGGCGCCTTTTGCCAGCCGCTATAAAGAAACGCATGGGCGAGGCTAGTCTACGCTCTCTCTACCTCGAGCCCTTCTTTCCTTTCGTCTCCCTTCCCTTCCCGTGTCGAGCCTGCCTCTCGCCCTCTCTCTCTCCCGCATCCACTCTCTGCTCTCTGCTCTGCTCTGCCTCCTCTGTCTCGCCTCGCCTTGCAATTGCCTCGGCACTTGGTAGAGATCGCGCTCTTCCTCTCGCGGCGGTGCAATCGGTCTCCTCTCGCGGTGCTCTGCTCTGCTTTTGCTTTTGCTTGGCTTGGCTTGGCTCAGGCTGGGGCTGGCCTTGGGTTGGGTAGGGTGGGATTGGCTGTGCTTTCCTCGGTGTATCAGCACCGTGCTCTGTTGTGGCTGCGTTTTCGGACTTGGGCCTGCATTCGCACCGTCTGGGCAGAAGCAGCGGGCGCTTTCGTCGATGCTCTCGTCGACCAATCGATCGCATCTCTCAGTGCGAAATTGCTCTCATTGATCCTCTTTTTGTGCGCCGATTGGGCCTGCGTCTCTTGGCGTGACCGGGAGTGAGGCAGCTGTGGGCGTTTTGCTGGGTTTTGCTCTGCTTTGATGTCATTGTCATTGCTCTTCGCTGGGGAGACAGAGAGCGAGGAGAGGAGAGGCAAGAGGCGAGTCGCAGAAACCAGCGATTTGTACAAGTGGACGACGGCAGGGTTTGGGTTGAGTCGGGTCCGGTTTGGCTGGGCTGTGTCGCGTGGTGTCGAGGTGAATTGGGCTTGACCAGAGGGTGGGAGTGATCGATTGCAGGAGAGTAGACGCGAGCGAGAGGGACATGTGATTTAAGAGGTCGGGGTTTTGTGGCGCGGACGGGCAATTGGGGAGGTGGAGGGGGGGTTTTTGAGAAATTGAGAGGTGTGAGGCGTGTGCGCTCGGGTAGCGCTGGAGACCGAGCGGGCTATAGGCGTTCGGAAACGCTTCGGGGCGAGGAAAGGAGAAGTAGTGTGCAACCCTAGAGGAAAGAAGCGGGGTAATTACGTGGGTGTGAGGCTGGAGGTGGACGACATGGTGGAAGCCATACAAATGGCTTCTGAGTGCGAATTGAAGAGTTCACCTCCGATCAAGCGGAGAGGAGAGTCGGATTGCAAGCGGAAACTGAGCAGTCCGGATCCTCCTGAGAGAATCGAGGGCGAGAAGGACTTGAAGCGGGAACTAAAGAAACTCAAGCAGAAGTTCGCGAAGGAGTACGATGGCAATCGAGCTTGTCCTCCCAAAATCTTCTTTCTTTTGTAAATAGACCGATATGCAGGTTGAGAATTCTCTCTAGGCGCCCTGTCTAATTGTTAACACCATTTTCTGGTCTCATCTAGCTTCCGCGGCATTTCCCTCACTCGCCAAGCTCTGACGCCGCAGGAATCAGATGTGCCAAATGCATGTGTACATAGTAGGGCGGCAGGGTGTGAGACATCTTCGTCCAGTTTCCAGGCAGTGTATATACTTTAGTCTCACAGGAAGCCGAGTTTTGTGTATTGTATAATTTCACGTTACTATTACCGATTAGATAGAAGACTGGGAATTGAGATCTAGTCCGATATGCAGACTGAACATACCTTTGTAGATCGCGAACAACATTGCAGTGCGGGCCCTTTGATGGTCTTAGCTGGTCTCGTAGTACCAAGGTGATGCTTTGTATATGAACTCTGATTGGTGATATTTTTTGACAATAAAGTTTTGTCTACAACATGGAAGTGTTGGCTCTGGAGCTTAGGCTGATCTTATTTGTCCTCTGCTCTGATCTCAGAGCCCCACGCTGACCACAAGCATTCTGACTGAGTAAGAATCGAAGAAGGTTTTTCTCTTCAGCGAGTCACGGTGAGGCTAGGAAGTGGGTTGCGAAAGGGGAACATAAGTCAGCTGATGATGCGCCTTTGTTAAGTTTACCTCTACATCCAGACAATGCCATAATTCTCTCGCCTGGTGACACAATTGTGCAAGCTATGGCAAGGATCAATCATTTTTACAGTAGCTGAATCTGCTTCACCCTCTTGGTAATCCGTGCACACCTAGGAGATACCTTCGGTGGCGTCTTTCATGTGGACAGTACTTCGAAGACGTTGAGTTGCCCCTGATCGCGGTTCTGAGTACCTGATGTTGAACAGCCCAATCAGCTGAAAATTTATGTAAGAGAGGGAGAGTGACAGTGAGTTCTTACTATCGGTGTTAGCAAAGGGTTGGCCAGCACAGCGAATTGTCAACGTTTGCATCAAGTCGTACCATCGCTGCTTGTCCTACGATGTCGACGTTGAATAAGTCCTCGGTCTGTGGAAATCGACCTGTCCGGGGAAGAAGAAAATAAATAGCAAACGAGGCTGACCCTCGGCAAGTGAAAGAGGCCGCAAACCATATGAAACTTTGGAAGGCCCCCGCGAATGATGGAGATTGTTGGATATAAAGCTGCCGCCGTACACACCAACGGGTTGGTAAAATGGCGAAAAGAAAGGTGTCATTGGTAATTCACTTTTCATACCTAAAGTTAGCGGTCACCCACTCTGGCAGCCTGCGGTGGTACTATGTAACGCTCTAGACTTGGGAACGCAGTTGGACTCCGGACGCAGTAAGTAGAGCTCTGCGTACAGTGCTGTACACTTCCCCGGGACCATGGCAGATCAACATCTATCCTCAGCTCGAACTGCGAAGCAATCTACAACGCCCCTCCTTGCGGGGCCACCGTGAGGACATGAACACGGTTTTGTAGTCAGTTCAATTGAGATCCCCCGTGGGGAACACGTGGTTGTGGGAGCACCTGATACCGGTACAGTTGTCCACTTCAACTCATCGGGTGGAGGAGCGAAATCATACCAGGCTTGGCGGCGGGCGCCATTGATAGATGGTGCTTGAGGTTCTCGGCGTGACAGAACAGGAGACGTCAAATCTTACGCTCGACTACTACATTAGTATCCACATTTGTTCTTATATAATCTTCTGGACAGGACTTAGGCTGCATGCTACACTTGGATGAACTGATAACATCTCCATTTTCTGTGGCGATTCACGATATACTTTTTGGCTTAGCGAATCTGCTCTAGGAAAAGTTCAGTTTTCCAAATTATCTTCCTCAAAAAGCATGGATTAGGGCAGACTGGAAATCTTCTCCCTCCATCTCCTTTGGCTCTTTTGTCCCTGATCTCCCCCCTCCCGATGTACTCGAGGTTTAAACTTCTCCTAAAGAGGCAGAAAGCGGTTGAAAAGTGATGCAATCTAGACTGCATTGTACTTCCTAAAGATTGACTTCCTTCTGAGGCACGCATCTTTTGTCTTTGGGGTTAAGTGTGGAAGATGCCAAGAAAGTTTTACGTTTCTGAAGTGAGAATGAAAATCTCGAATTTCAGTTGTTCATCTTGAGCTGTTGATCTGCTTAGGACAAACAGCTGCTCTCGGAACTTGATGCATTAGTGACCGTCGATGCGCTTCACATGTAAGAACAAGTTCTTAACTTCGCGTGCCTTGAACAAACTACCTCATGATCCTACTCGCATTTTGTTCTCGCCTGAAGTCTTTTATTACCATGACTTCAATACTTTTCAAATCAAACATATCTTTAGAGATTCGTATCACTTACCTCAGACACATTCCCTTCCCTAGGGACTGGGATGTGCACTGGAATATAGTTGAAGGTAATTGATGTATGTATTTATAAGCTTAGCGATGAGCATGCAATGAGAGTAGTGCAGCAAAGTACATTTTTATGATGTCTGAGGACTATCTTTATCATTCTGAGGAAGCCTCAAACATCCCGATGCAACAACAAGTGAAGATGAGACAGGTAGCTAGTCGGCCTTATGTCTACGTTACATACATTCTGACTCGCGAGAAGGATTCAATCCAGGCTGTAAGTACGTTTGTTTGAGTACAAGGAGAGGGTTTTCTTGTTGTGATGAATAAAGATGAGAAGTATACAATTTCGTGTTTACACATTCTTGCAGTAAGAATTAGGAGCAGTGTGAAATTTCTGTCTTTCAATCATAGTGATTTCGGTGCGTCCATTTTTGTTCATGTTCCAAGCTAAAGCCATCCGCGTACTCTATATCTGTTTACCCGACCCTATTCAGAGAAGAGTTCTTCGGTGCTTTCGTGCCAAGTTGAGACTTCGTCAGGTTGGTACAAAGCCTGAAGTACAGGTAAGGGCCAAACCACACGACCCGCAGCGGCAGCTAATCCTCGCTTGTTATTGGCACCCGAGGTTCCCCCTTTACCACACGGGAGGGAGCGGCAATTTGATATATCCTAGGTGGCAAAGAAATCGACTTCTCAAAACTACCAGGCACTTCCGACTGAAATCCGGTTTTTCCGGAATATATAGACTCCACGTGTACTTTCGCGCCTTCCTGGGTTACTCTTCCAAAGACTTCTCATCGCTGCGTTGCAATTAGTAGACATATTTTTCCCTTTTCACTCCAAAGGCACTACCGGTAGTGTGGTAGAGGTTATGGAATTCTCTCCAGCTGGCCAACTTAGGCCTACGAAAACTTGGTTTTCTTATAGCCAGGAGCTTGGTGCCGGCTGCCGGTAGTGTGGTAAGGCCCTAAGTTTTTCGACGCTATGCGTGTTGGTGTAATGTGTAGCTTGTGGATCAGACGTGACCGAAGAGTGTACATTAAATTAGAGGCCGCTAAAAGCGGCGAAAGGAACGAACGTTGCCGCACCAATATCGAGCAAAGCGGGCCCATGTGATGTCATGCACGACATATGAGATCCTATTAATGTGAAGGTTCACGAGCGGACCCACCACAAGATTGCGTCCCACTGCTTGTGACGGGAAACAGGAGCTGTCGCATATTAACCAGGAGGTGCTGCTTGTACACACATAATACCGCATCTTGTTGGAGCTTCTTTCCATGGAGGCATGCCACCGATGGCAGCAAATCATTTTTCGTTCTACAGTCTGAAACAAATGTCATTGAAATTCACGTAACCATCCGATGCTTGTACAAAATTGCGTGACGATCCGTTGGCTCCCATCACCCTTTGCGCTTCTATGCATCTTGATTGGATTGCATCTTCAGTGTCTTCAGAGGAAGGAGCTCTCTTTCGCAGCCAAAAGTATATTTCGTTCTCTGTGTCGGACAAACTATATTTACACGGCTCCGGGACCACCGGCCCATTTTTCAGCCTCTCCTCTTCTCGTCCGAGAGTCAATCACCACTTTTCATGGACCTTGACCTTTCTTCTGTACATTCTTTCCCTCACCGTTGGTCCTAGAGGCTCACAAATTCCCTTTCTAGTTTTTTGAAGCTTTCACGTTCGGAATGTTTCAGAGAACTACCGGATTCCTTACGTCTGGTGTCACAGGCAGTCAAGAAATCAACAGGCTTTCATGGCTGCATCTGCCTCTCAACTGACTTCCGTGACACCATTTCTCTGAGTTCCTGGTGACATCTGTATGCAAGGCCTAATCCAACCGTTAGTGGTCATCCTCGCTTGTGCATGACATCTTTTGAGATGAAGCGTCGTCGCTCTACGTGATTAAATCATTTCTTCAGAGGTATTATATGCTTCATTATCTGCTCTCCTCCCAATAAGACAGAGTCTCTCTTGTGCTAGAGCGGGCCTGTTGTTCTCACCAGAAGAATTATTCCTACATATCTGTCAGTCTACCAGCAGTAAGCATACCAGAAACGAGGAGCCAAAGCTGGACTTCAGAAGTCACTTCTGCTACTTCGATCTCGATGGGCGGACTTCACTGGAGTACTTTTAACCGAAGCTGTGTAAGACCGGACCCACCTTTAGTGGGCTTAAGACTTAAGCCCACTAAGTTGGACTTAAGCCTTAAGTCCAACTGCTCTTATCCTCAGCTGCTGTAATGCTCTTGGGAGTCCCCGACTTGAACTGTAACTCGAGGAAGCGAAGGCGGAAGTGATTCAGAGAAAGTCGTGAGGTTGAAAACTTCCTCCATGTTCCTCGGTTTAGTGACTCTGGTTCTGAAGTGACCGTCATCCGTAATCATTGTTGCCTGAAGAGCCCTTGCTCTGGAATGACTTTTTCCCACCCCTTTGGTTTCATTCGTGTACGACTTGACGGGTCTTCCCATCCTTTTTGCTAGATTACTGGGTACATTCTGATATGGCTTTGTCTAGAGGCCTGCCGAAAATGACAACATAAGATATTCGCATGAGTGTTGTTCTAACTGTCGTCTATTACAGTCAGAGCCCAGCAGGGGGTTCTAGCACATGATAATAATTCTCCAAGAATCCCAGTCACGTTTCAGCAGTCCAGCTCAGTTCCGGTTCTCTACCATCATTACGTTGTTCGTGATGCTTGAGCTCAGTATTTACTTCTGACGAATCTCTGCCAACTGACGGTACAGTAGAGTCATGTATTTCATCTTTCTAGCTACTGTACTGTACCTCCACAGTGCCTCCCAAGACCCTCAGGCCTAGACTCAGAAGGGATGGCTTTCTTTGGCCATCTGGAAATACGTAGGGAAGCGTGCCAAACGAAGCGGGTATAGAAGAGCTTGGAACACTTTGAGGGACTAAGCACCGAAGGACTTTGTGGAGATCACACACTTGTTATCGGGAGAAGTTATTGATTCAGAATGTTAACAGCGCTCTCCTTTGGGTTCACCACTTGTTGTAATCACGAGAAGCATATTACATTACTGTGCGGTAGAATAATTTCCTCTCCTCTGCTCACGAGCACCTCTTAGGTAATTTCAATCATGAGACGACATTTCTCACGAGCTCAGCTCGCGAGCATTTGATGAGA